GCGTACTTCATGGGCAAGTAACACCTTTTTCTCTTCTAAATTTTAGTCCAAGTGTCCAAAAACTTTTGATATTTTTCAAATAAAGTTGAGTTAGTTTTTGAGATATTCGCACATATTTGGAAATTCTGAAATTTTTAAATTTCGATTTTTTTTTTATTAAATTTCTAAAAAAATAAGTTATTTATTTAAAATACATCAAAAAATTTAAAATTTAATGTCCTAATAACTTTTTGGATAGTGACGTAAAATTTAGGAGGGATGCGGTATTACCCGAGAATACCGATCAAGGAGAAGCGACAGTAGCTGTCGGTGCCTTTGATATCGGATGTACCTTTTTCACAGTATGACTTTGACTGATACACAACTTAGCACGCTGAGAAAACATGCTTATTTTCTACACTGAGCGAAATAGTTTGGCAAATTATCTGAAATTATTGTTATAGTCTATGCGCAAATGTTCATTATGTAATAATTAATTATTTATTATAAAAGTAAAAGACGTTTATTATTTTATAATTTATCTATAAAATTTGTTGGTTTATTTATTGTTAAAAATGTAATAAAAGTCCCATGTTTAAATTAAATTACCTTTTTCTTAACTTAAAATAAGGTAAATAAAATGAAGGGTGTCAAAAAAAATTTAGGTAACAATTAAAAAGATATTAAGTTTGAGAGGTTTAACTAAATATTTGCAATGTGCATATATTTTCAAAGCTTTTAGGTTTAAAAAGTACTTACATATTTTTAGAATTTCTAGATTTATATTATATTAAAACGACTTTCAAGTTTATCACTCATTTCTGTAGAAACAAGTGTTTTCTCGCCAAGTTAAACCAGATGTCATTTAAGGTTTATGTATTTAGAGTTAAATACCTGGCCTGACTATTAACCAGATAATACAAATATGTCCATTGGACGTCCATTCGATATACAATTTTGGATGTCTAGACGTCCAAAAATGAGTTTTCTGGACTTCCGACATCCAATGGACGTCCAGTGAAGTATAGGTACAAATGGAACACTTTTGACCATTCAGAGGACGTCCAATTCTGGAATATATTTGGACTCGAATAATGGACATTCAAAAAACGTCCAGGATTATATTTCCATTGAGACCACATCCCCACTTTTTTACAGAAACGCAACTCACCACACATTATTTTATATTATTAATAATTTGTTTATTATTTTCGCAAATCGCTATACACCATTTATTTATTTTTTATTAAAAATCGCTTGACCTGAACAGGCATCGAACTCACGATACGTCCATTATCGTTTTACGCTTTCAATCGCTAGGAACCACTTGAAAACTTTTTACTAGATACAGTTATAATTGAATAAGATTTCAAACTTCCGCTGATAGAATGAAATGCAATAGATTCAATTTGTCAATTTTTAATGACCAGTTATATAAAAAAAAAGAAGTATATCCCACATAGCACACGGACGTCTTATGGACGTCTAAAAAATGTCCTTCAGGGACATAAAGGACGTCCGAGGGACGTCCTCTTTTGGTACCGGGACGTCAATCGGACGTCCAATGGACGTCCTAATGTCCCGTTTCCATCCATCTTTGGGACGTCCCTGGGACATCCCAAAAGGACGTCATAGGGTAATAAAAACAAAAATGTTAACAATAAGAGAGCTTCATTTAACAACTTTTATCATGAAAAAACTAGCTAGAGTTAAACGTTTTCAGTTTACAAAAAAAAAACAGGAATTAATTAAATTTAACACACAGCGCTGGTAAGATGAAACCTTGGGTCCTACTTATAGCTTGTGTCGACATAACTGAGTATTATAATTTTGTCAAAATTAGTTTCGTTCCAACTCTCCGCCATTAAGGTATTTTCTTTCCGCCAGCGGCTACCGCCAATACACATCACTTATTCTCACCTCAACAAAAAACACTCACTTCACTTTATAACCACTTTACCACCAACATCAAAAAAATAACAAATAACACTATATGACCTTCTTCTTTCTTCGTTAATCTAACGCACTTATATAAGTTAATTATTGAATGCCGAAAATTGTAGCTGTTGTTGTTCATTTGGAAATAAATGATAGGTTAGGGTTTCTGTCCTCATACTCTTGCAAAAACAAAACGTTGAATTTCAAGATATCGATTCAAAGACCAACGGTGCTAGTACATAAAAAGTCCCATAGACGTCCCATTAACGTCCCGGACTCGAACCGAAACCTAAACGCTTTGTCGAAGCGGGACCAAAATAGGACATCCAGAGGACGTCCTAGTGTTCACTGTAATCGGAAGTCCAGTGGACGTCCTATTTAGGTCCGGGACCAACTGGACCAAGAAGGGACCCAATCAGGACGTCCTATTTAGGACCAGGACCAACCGGACCAAATCAGGACGTCCATGGGACGTCCTGTGCTATCTGGGATATAGATGGGTATTATCTGGTAAGCTTAATAAATAATGACCTAAGATAGACGTCCACTAGACGTCAAAATACTACTGAACTTAAAATTAAGTCCAAAAAACAGACGTTCTATGGGTATCGATATTCAGCTGTCAATTTAATTAGCATAAACGGACGTACACTGGATGCCCGGATATGGACGTCCTGGCCCTCAAATAGATCTGAAGTGGACGTCCATTGTGTGCATAGACGAATTTTTAGAAATAGTACTTATTTAAGTATGCACCAATATTTTCAAAATCAACTCCAGTATGATTCATTCAATAAATGTAAATATGAATGGGCAAAACATCTTTATATTGACATAATTGTAACTTACAATTTAGCCATAATAAAGGGATTTTGCCCACTTTGATTAATCCTAATTGAAATACGCGAATTTATTATATTTTCTTAAATATAATTTCAAAATAAAATAAACAAAATCTGCAGTTCATTGTTTATTAAATTTATTTAAAAGAAGAAAAATACAATACCTACATATGAAAAATAAAATGTCAAAAATGATTAAATAATTATACTTAATATTTATGCATGTGATAAAATTCTTAGTTTCATAATAACTTTTTTGGCACATTTTATATCTGTATTAGAATACCTAAGTGTGTAAAAATTTTTATCTTATTACTACACAAAACAAACACCAAAAAATATCACTTAACATTGCTCACGTACTAAACACAACTTGGACTGATTTTGACAGATAACATAATTTTGAGTGATACACAACTTATTTTCGCACATGCGCGTTACAAAACGGTACACTGAAAACACCAAGCTGTCGCTTCTCCTTGATCGGTATTCTCGGGTATTACGTACCAATGCTGTACGCCACTGGAAAAGTTAATGAAGATTACTAATTTTTTTGCTGATAGGTCGATATTATAACACCAAAAACGTTTGCCAAATTTAGTAAAATTGTTGTGAGTAATAAAAAAAAAATATAGCCATAAATATTTTTTGGATTTTAACACCGTAATACAGAAACGAGAAACATTTTATCTAAGCATGATTTGTTTAGTTGTCTTATTTTTAATCAGAGAATCGTCAGTTGTTCTATGTCCCATTCTTAACGAAACACCATGTATAGTATAATAGGTCCCTACGTAATGAAACGAAGACCTTTGTCCTTTGTTGACTGGACACAAAAATGAACAACAGTAAATATACCGATGTGTGTTGTCTCTGCCGATGTATTGAATATAATTCAAAACTTTTATTTAGGTACCTGCTACATCGAAAATATTTGTCAAGGTCAAGAACTCGTTTACTTATCATCGCGAGTGACTAGGGGTGATGAATTTGTTATTTTATAACAGTTACCACTGTTACCAGTTACCGTTTAGAATTAATAAAATTATTACGCCATCTGTTGAACAAAAGAACTATTAGATATGGAATGTTGCTCCATCTGTTGAACAAAAGGATTCTTAATTTATGACACATAAATGACATCTATCAAAATTAGTTTATGTTACGAATATTGGGGGTGGTACTGTGGCCTTAACAATGTCATTTTAATCTTCGTGTTTAGTAATTTAATGATACTCTGCCGGTACAATCAAGATATTTTTAAAATGTCCTTTATTCAAATTTCAAAAAGGTGGCAATCCTACAAATACCTCCACTCTTAGACTTAGAAACATATTTTGTTTTCTAGCATAAGTTAGGTACAAATACCACTTTAACCTGACCTAAAGAGAACGACTTGCAAGAACAAATAGGGTGTTTTCAACCCCAAGGAAAAAATAGTCGCAATCAAATATCTCTGTTCCTAGACATAAAAATATATTTATTTTCTAGCATAGGGTAGGTACAAATACCACTTCCAAAATATGTTAAAGAGAACGACTTGCAAGGTCAAATAGGGCGTCAATCAACCCCAAAGGGAATTTTCCGATTATTTAATAGGAATCAAATACCTCCTTCTCCTAGACATTGAAACATATTTTGTTTTCTAGCATAAGTTCGTTAAAATCTTTAAAATAGTCACATTTAAGATATTTACTTTGAAACAGTGTCATGAGTAATTTGTTTTTTATTTTTTAAATAAAAGTATAAAATCTACCAAATTTGGTTTTTCTCATTTTAACAATATGGATTTTCATCAAGCAAAGGCCGAAACAATCAAGAATAAATATAACTTTACAATCAAGTTTTAAGGCATCTGCAAGTAGATACTAGGGTTCTAACAAAATAAAATATTAAATAATTTGATTTCATCCCTTTTACCTGATTTAAATATGGGTAACTTTATATAAACCAAAGCTACCCCAAATTCATTTAACAAAAATTTTAATTTTCAATAGAAGAAACAGGTGTCTATAAATAAATCTGTTTTTATTAAATTAAATTCATTTATATACATGTTTCACTTTTACACCAAAATCAACTGGTACATAACCAAAGACTACCTTATTTATAATAAGTCATACAGACTAATAAAATAAATCATTTTTTATGTTAGGTTTAAAAATTTAAACACTATATGACTGTAATAAATATAGAAAAGCATATTGAAAGAGAACAATAAACAAAATCACAGTAATTATTTTAATCCAAGTGTTCATGTTGTGCATGTACTTCACTATCCCTCCAATTACTCTGAACACTTTCTATAATCCATTTCCACCACCTAGATTTTGTAAAATAATACCCTCCGCACAATATAATAAAAAACCAACTTAAAATTAAAAACAAATCATAATCTTTGGCAGGAATATTTGTTACAGGTCCGGCAAAATCTGCAGATGTAACAGCCACAGATTCGACAGCAGGTATGCCAGTATGTTTGTAAATAAACTGAGAAAATTTTTCCAAAGTATATTCCGAACCATTAAATTTACCCACAGATCTCCCATTATGAAACAGAAGAAGTGATGGGACCCCTACTATACCATTTTGGGTGTTAAATAAATGGTACATCATGGCGTTAATAGCTACTAGTTTTACATCAGGAAAAGCCCTTGGAAGAGCATTATAATGAGGTGCAGCTATCGTAGAAAATGGACAATATTTCGAATAAAACAAAACTACTACACACAATCCCGGTACATCTCTTTCAGTTACTTTTGGATCTGCTTGCAATAATTTTATTAACTCGGTATCATTCATCAGTTGGACTTCCGAGCTGCCCATTAAAGGTAAGCAATGAACTAACTTCTGTGTTTTATTGGTAACATCGTTTGGCTCCTCAACTATTTCAGTGATATTTGCTGAAGTTTCATTAATTGTTTGAGAATCATTTAAAAGCACTACATCGTCCAGAACCGATACATTCTGAGCTATCGAAATGGCATCATTTTGATCAGAAATGTTGGTGGTTTCTGTTGTATCTTCGGTTTTTGCCTTAGTAATAAATAAAACTGGAAAAAAGAGGTTAATCAAAACACAAAAGTTTTTATTTTCTAATTACATACCCAAAAATAAAAAAAATAACATGTTGATCCGGATATTCATTATTTTTAAATTACTTTACTATCAATTAACTGATATTGTTAATTTAATAATTTATTTGTTACATTTTTAGTTTGATAGTTTGATATTTACATTAATGACCACAGAACACTTATTAATGACATTTTATTTGAAGTTATCACAAAACACCTCTTTAGCGATTGACATTGACACTTTACTTCTTCTTTTAAATTCTTCCTTCTTTAGGTTACTAGCTTCATAGACATCATTTGACTAGCTTCAACCTAAGGCCCGTATTTATAAACAGAACTTACGTGAGTCGGACTTGGGTAAGTCGTCCTTGAACTAAAATCGAAGTTCGGTTACAACGTCTCTAAAGTTCTAGGTGGTTCTGGTGTTTGACTGGAATTTAGAGATGGATATTAGGTATTCCAACGACCTGTCCAAATGGCTACCAGTGGGTAATGACAGTTTAGATATGGCAACCCTGTTGTCATGTTGTCATTAACAGGGTCAATGATACATATATAGTTATATAGATTGATCAAAGCTGGTCGTTTACGAGCGGCCATATTGCCTGGCAAATATTTATTAATCTGAATCGGTTTAGCAAAAATGTGTTTTAAAACCAATTTTTAGCCTTTAGATATTTAAAAAAAATAATTGCTTACATTTTTACTTCAAGGCATAAGCTTATGTTTATTTTGAAAAATATGGATGATCAATCTATAGGTCTTTTCCTTTGCATCGAAAGTGTAGCACTGAGCTACGACACTTCTGAAAATATTGTTCCATCCATACAATGTGTATAAATGGAACGATATTTTCAGAAGTGGTGTAGCTCAGTACTACACTTTCGATGCAAAGGAAAAGACCTTATGTAACTATCTATTTCATTGACCTTGTCAAATCACTAGGCCTACAGGGTTGCTATAATTTTGCCATATCATAACCCGTCAGAACCCACTGGTAGCCATTCAGTTTGGAATGCCTAATTAGGAAATATGTAACTGTTATGAACATTTACGGATTTGTTGCTACCCATCTCTAAATTCACGCGATATAACCGAACTTCGATTTTCGTTCAAGGACGACTTGCCCAGGTCCGACTCAGCTGAGTTTTGTTTATAAATACGGGCCTATGGTCCGAGCACAGCTTATACAATACAGCTAAAACACTCTCTTGGCGGCAACGGTTTGCGTCGATTCCGTCATTGCTTAAGCTCCTCCTTCGGACGGAAAAGACGGCTTTGGCGTTCAGAATCGTACTTAGGTAAGGATTGAGCCGTGAGTATAATTTCGTTGATTGCATAATTTCGTTGATTTTGTTTGAGCTGCCTGTTGTGTTAAGTTAAAGGTACTGTTATTATTTTAGTGACTCTTTAACTGTGAGTAGAATGAGTGAAAAAAAAAGACATCATTCTGTCTGTGCAGTCAAAAGCTGTTTTAATAAGGGTTATACCTGCAAGAAAACATTCTTTCGTTTTCCCAAGAACCCAAACCGGTAAGTACCACATTATAAGAAATTTTCATTAATAATAATATAATTTATACAGGATGTCCCATTAGTGCGTAATTGTTCAATATTTGAATTTGTGTTGTAGACACGCAAAAAAAGTTTTAAATAAAAATTATATGGATTTGAAAAATACATATTTTAAAAATATTTTCGAATATTTAATTGGCAAATCAAAATGTATGTTTTTTAAATGGAACACCCTGTATTTTATTTTATTTTATTTTTAGAATGGTTTGGTAATACTGTATTTAACCATAAAATGTATTAAAAAATATTAGTGTTGCCAAGCAATTCATTTTTTTTTAAATTGGAGAATGATGCAGACCCCAAATTAAATTATCATAATTTAGGTAGGTTTACATTGATTTCAAAATTGTTTAATATACAGACTTATAAAATACTAAGGACCGATTCCACCGTTGTGTTAAACGAAGTTTAAAATTACATTTTTACATTAACAATGTCATTTTAATCTCCGTTTAACACAACGGTGGAATCGGCCCTAAGCTAACGAATAGTGGTGATAGAACTGGTTTATTTTATACAGAGTGTTTTAAAACATATCTTAAATATGGCTAATTTTAAGTTCAATTTAATCAATTTTTTCAAACAAAACACCCTGTATATTATTTTGGCCTAAAATTCCTTATAAATTTGCTTATTTATCTATACCAAAATATTAGCCAATAACACATAAACTTTATGGGTGCGTAATTGATCGATAGCTGTTTTATTAGTGGAAATACGAAAAAAAAAAATTATATAAATTTTTATGACCATGTTATACTTTCTTAAATATACAGGGTTCCATAAACGAGGGGAGTTGATAAAACTTATACATTTTTAAAGCAAAACACCTTGCAGGTAGTCATACATATTTGATAGTTTTCACATCGTCAAACCATTTTAAGACTTCATTTATTTGCTATAGGGTGTATAGGGTGTGTCAGAATGGGGAGTAACGGTTTTCTCACGTTTTTAAATGGAATACCCTATAAATTATACCACCGACTAATTGATACAGGGTAATCCATTTAAAAAATAGGGAAAATCGTAACCTCACGATTTGACACACCCTATATACAACATAGCAAATGAGTGAAGTTAATTAAAATTGTTTGACGATGTGATAACAATCAAATATGAATAACTACCTGTAGGGTGTTTTGCTTTAAAAAAGTATAGGTTTGGTCAGCACCTCGTTTATAGGCCACCTTGTATATTATTTAGGGGTAATTGTTAAATATGGCCATACAACTTTTATATTAAATTTTTTTTTGTATTTCTAATAATAAAACAGCTATCAATCCATTACGCACTAATGGGACACCCTGTATATGTGTTATTGGTTAACATGTTGGTATCGTTGAATAGGTAAATGTATTAGAAAATTTTATGTCAAAATAATATACATTTAAAAAAAATTGAGTAAATTGAACTTAAAATTAGCCATATTTAAGGCACGTTTCAAAACACTTTGAATAAAATAAACCAGTTCTATCACCACTATTCGTTAGCTTAGTATCAAGTATGTATATTTAACAATTTTTAAATCAGTGTAAACCTACCTAAATTATGATAATTTAATTTGGGGTTAGCATCATTCTCTAATTTAAAAAAAATAATTGTTTGGCAAAACTGTAATATTTTTTCAAAACATGCTAGGGTTGAATATAGTGTTAACAAGTCATTCTAAAAATAAAATATAGGGTGTTCTATTAAAAAAAAAACAAAAAATTTTATTTGCCAGGCAAAAAAAGTCTATAACACAAATTAAAATATGGAATATTTACGCCCTGTATAAACAGATTCGTTTATTGACTTACGTTAGGTTTAGGCTGTTTTTATTTTTATTAATTCCTCCTAGGTGCTAAAGTTACCTATTGAGCTAGGAATTCTAAATTTGTTTAATTGTGTAGATGATAGTCTAATAATTAACTTATTTAAACCTAAACACATGATTTTTTTTCAGGGCTAGGATATGGGCAATGAAAGCCAATCGGGAAGACCTTTTGGAGAAATTGGACGATCTATATAAAAGTTACAAGCTGTGTGAATGTCATTTAATTACGAGTATTAAAACTAAAATCCTAAAAGTGTCGGTGAAGATGAGGACAGAGCATCCGCCTTCCAAGAGAAAAGCCCGGGATCGAATCTAGGCCGGGGACTAATTAAATTAATTTTTTTATGTTTATTTTATAAATTAGTAAAATTCGTAAATTATTTTAAAATTAGTTATTTTGTCTAAATAACCTAAAATAATTTATTTTAATTTGTAGATTTTCGTCAGTGGGTCGTAGAAAAAATATACTGTACAACTCGAGTGGATTGTCCATATTCATTCTTGTTGCACAAACTACTATTTATTTGTTTTCTTGGTTTCATGTTTACATCAGTAAATAGGAACTAAATTAATTTACTTTTCGAGTTTTCTTGTAAAAATCGATATCACTTTCTCCAAGTACAAATTTAGTACCTACCTAAAATAGGTACTAATTATATAATTTCGCATAATATTGTAATCTAAATTTCACATTACTATCAAGTTTCAAAATTCTCTACTTCGGTACGGTCAGATAAAAATATAATATATAAATAAAAACTGTCAAATTATTACTTCTACAAATCTTTATGAATAAAAATACATCTAAATAAAACCGATATTGTTAAAATAAAAGCACAAGTTACCGATTCTTTATAATAACCCAGAATATCATCGAGTTCCCAGACCGCAGTCAGTCGAAACAGTCGTTTATCTAGGTATAAACACTATAAACCCTTTGCGCGATGAATGACACTTGCCAGACACACGGGGTACCACTTGATTTGTATCCACGGCCACAATTTGTCGTGAAGTGACTGTTTTAGCTCAAAACATCTGTTAACAACATTGAGATAGAATAAAGGGGAGACGCTATGACGTTACTAAAAGTGTCCGCACTTTTCAATAAGCATTACATTTTTACGTCATGTGTCAAACTAACGTGACCTAGTCAGTTTGATTACTGTTTTGGTGAAAATAAACGCCATTTTATTTAAATAGCTACATTTAAATCTTATAAAAAGTTGTTTATTTTAATTTTAAATAATGGTATCATGTGCTATAAGAAGCTGTTGCAGCAGTGGCAGCGTTAATAAGAAAAAAACTTCAGGAATTACATTTCATAAGTAAGTCTAAAGCATATTCTAAACAATTATAAGGACCGTATTCTTAATTTTTGTTTCAATGTTTGTGTGTTAATTAATCATAATTGACTTTTCTAATAATATAAGTATATCAATCTTCAATCCCGACGAAGATTCGAATTTTCATCTAATGTGTTATTACGACCACCTAATGACATCAAACTTCTTCCGAGCACCTCAGCATCCATTGCTAGTACTTCTAAAGATAGATCTGTAGAACATGAAA